GAGCAACTCTACAAATGCTCTTGTTCGTTATTCCAATCATGGCTGAGAAGCCCTCCTCATTCTCCTCCTGCTCCTTCCTTCCCCCTCTCCCTGCTACCCCAAATAAAATAAAATTCAATCATAGCAGCATGCTAGAGTACCCAATATGCTCTGCGTGCAAGCTTGGTTAAGCAAATCACATTGACCTTTAATAGAAATGTGCAGAATGCTTCCTGCTCTCATTAATCTCCAGGCCAAACCACCATAAGCACAAGCCTCATTAAGTGCAAATCTGATCATGCTACGCCCCTGCTTCAAACCCTTCAGTAGCTCCACCACTGCCTATAGCATAAAGCCCCAACCAGCACCCGTGCAGACAAGGACCACAGGGTGTGGCATGGGCTGACCCCCGCTGGCCTCCTGTCTCCCAATACTCCACCTGCTGCATCTCAGCCCCACTCCAGCTGCCCCTCAGTCTGTCCCTCTTTCCTTTGCTCTTTCTCTGGCTCGATTCTGTCTGCAGCACCCTTGACACCCGCCTCTCCAGCCAGCTGCACACTGATTACCTCCCGTGTCCAAAGTGCAGTTCATGTCAGCGCCCTGATGAATCCTCTCCTGAGCCCTACCCCCAGGCTGACTGACAGCCTCTCGACGCACCCACTTGAGATGTATGCCCTTGTCTGTGGTTCCATGCTGCATGTCACGCGATCATGTCCTCCTCGCTTCGACGTCCCACGGTGCCTGGCATGTATCAGCAGCTTATGTTGTGAGGTGACCTCAGGTCCGCTCTGACACGAGACTCAAGGGGCCACAGTACAGGACACGGCCTGGTCCTGCGCCAGCCTCACACTGGCTGCTGCGTTGAGCCCATTGTTGCAGCCACCATGTCCATCCATGTCGTGTCCATCCATCTCGTGTCCATCCACCTCGGCCAGTGTCTTCCTTTTTACTGACCCTCTACTTGACGGAGAATAATGTCTTTCCCCAGGATGGGTCCCTCTTGATGAATTGTCCAAAGTCTGCCCTCACTTCGAAGGCGCATTCTCATTGGACTCATTCCGAGACAGAGTTGTGCCTCCTGTAGAGTCAGTCTTCTTCACCAACAGCACAACTCAAGGCATCGGTCCCTCCAAGGCCTTTCTGGTTCATTGTCCGGCTCTCGCCTGCATCGGGAGGGCCTTGAAAAGGGCATGGGTTTGTTTCAGGCATCGTAGAAACCTCCTTGCTTTTGAATACTTACATGAGGCCTTTTGCCGATTTCCCCAGTGAAATTCACCATTTGATTTCTCAAGCGCTTCTCCCGTGGGCATTGACTGTGATGCTCATGGCGTGAAATCCAGGGAAGTTTCCATCTCTTCTCCCCGTTTCTCTGGAGGTTGTTTATGGGTCCTGCCGTGAGGATGTGTGTGCTCGTCATGTTGAGGGGTCATCCACGCCGAAGGCTGTATTAGACGGTCGTCAGCCAGGGCTGCACGTCCTCTTCACTTTGAACAAGCGGGGTGGTGTCACTTGCAAATTGTAGTTGGGGGCCGAGCCCTCCTCCAACCCTGACAGTCCCCATCCCCACCGTGACGTCCCTGGTAGGCTTGGACAGGTTTGCTGGTTCTTTGGAGGTAAAGGCAGACACATCCAGATGGAAAGTGGAAGTACGTCCTTCCTCCTCAGGGTGGTCCAGCTCGACTAAGCAGACCCCAGAGAGGGTCAGTCACCCCATCAGACAAGTAAGAGTCCTGGAGGGATCGCTTTGGGTGCAACAGCAAGTGGCGCTTTGATTGACATCGTTCCAAAGCATTGGCTCTGTCTGTTTGCTCCTAAGGGGACTGACAGACACAGACAGCTTTCTTTTCAGAGGAAGTTGAGTGAGGAGAGGTGGGGTGCAGGGGGGAGGCCCCTGAAAATGGATTAGCGACATCAGTGCTCCAGATCGGTGAAGAAGAGCAGGACACACCGAAGCCCACGTTCTGCCACGTGGCACCCTAATCTAGGGGGTTGTTTCCTCCTTGATTGTCTGCCTCTTCCATTCGAGGAGGGCAGGCACTTCATCGGCCTCGTCCATGGTTCGAAGGCGATGCCCAGGACAAAGTCGGTGCTCCGTGAACAGCTTTTGAATGAATGGCAGCACCGTGGTCTGAACGTCCAGAGGGCTGGTTTCCAGTCTCACTCTGTAGCCGCCAGCTGGTTGTGTGACCTTTGCCCCTCTGAGCCTCACTGTGATCCATGGAAAAGTCATCTCAGAGGGACAGATCGCATTCTCAGCTCTGCATCAAAGCCCGCTTGGACCATTCTGTGTGCACAACCACTACCAGGGTAGCCCTGTTCCAGGGGAAGTTGGACGTGGGGCGTACATGAATCCAGAGGTACTGCCACCCAGAGGTTGGGTGCCTGGCACGTCTTCTCCAGCCACCGTGGCAGGCATGCAGGTACCTTTGGAGAGGGAGACATAGATCTGGAATGGTACCGGGTTCATTTCAAGGCAAGCGAGTAGATGGAGCGCCGTGAGGTCAAAGTTTAGGGTGAGAGAAGAAGTGAGTCTCGCACGTAGCCTCAGGGAATGCTGGCTTGGACAGGAGCAGGCAGCCACCGCAGAGCGTGCGAAGGAAGGACCAGTGAGCACTACAGCGGGACGGAGGGACGGAGGGAGGGAGGAGAGGGAAAGATAACAGCTTATTGCCATCGACTCGGACTTGAACGCCTGACTACACTGGCACAGGACAATCGTGCAGACGACGCCGGACCAGGCAGCACTCCGTTCTGCGGTGCTTAGGGTGGCTATGGGTCGGAGCCGACTAACAACAACACACTGCAGTCTTGTAAGGTGATACTCAATACATTGGATTAAAAAAAATATTAAAAGGAAATATAGCAAAATGCTAATGTTTGATCTTGGGATTGGGATCGTTTACGTCTTCCTTTCTCTCTGCCCACCAACGTCGTGTGGGCTCCCATCTCTGTCACCATGGAAAAGGTGTCCTCCAAAAGCTCGCGGGCTAAGTCCTCTCCTTCTCTCCTCCAGATGATGCCTATTTACTACAGGGACTCAATATAGAGGAGCTCTACCCAGAAACCTCTAGTTTTATTACTTACGACGGGTCGATGACTATTCCGCCCTGCTACGAGACAGCAAGCTGGATCATAATGAACAAACCTGTCTACATCACCAGGATGCAGGTGAGCCTCTGTGCTGTCTGCAGCTCACGGGGGAGGTGACGGGAAGAATGGCCGGGCCAGCCTCTCCCAAGGATGGGTATGAAGTCACTGAAGAAGCATCCCACCTGTCTGGGTGGGGAAAGACAGACAGCGTGGTCTGTCCTCGGAGTGTGCTGTGTCTGACCTCTTGGGGTGCTCAAGGGGGTTAGGAAAAGGCTAGTGTGTTAGTCCGGGTACACTAGAGAAATAAATCCATGGACACACATATGTGTATAAGGAAGAGGTTTATATACAAGAGCAATTGAACATTGAGAAAGCATCCCAACCCAGTTCAGTCCAAGTCCATAAGTCTGATACCAATCCATTTTATAAAGCCCTCTTCAGACTCATGAAACACATGCAATGAAGCCAAAGGCAGGACAATCACAAGCCAGTGGGTAGAAAGTCTCTTTGTCCAATGGCGTTGTAAGCATCTCGGCGCTGGCAGGGGTCTCTCTGTGGCTTCTGGTTGCCTCCATGTTGCTTGTCTTCTGCAATGACTCCCAGGGAGCAGCAGAGAGAGAGAGATAGTGTCGCCTGCCTCCAAGGAAGAAGTACCAGATTTCCCAGAATTCTCAGGAGAAGGCCACACAGAAGTCTCATTGGCTATCTCCAGATTAACAGCCTAGCCTCCACCCCAACACTCTTAATCCTTAAATTGACACCGGATTAGGTGATTTACCACAGCTAGTTTGGGGGGTGTTGTTGTTGGAGGGGTTCCTCCACCCTCTATGAAATGATAATCCATGTGGGTCTCCCCAAGGAGGCAAAATGATAGGCAACATTTCACAGTTTTCTGAGCAGCTCCATGAATGAGGAAGCCTCAGAACTGGACGGAGCCCGGACGCTCTGCCTCTGGCTCCCACTGTGTACTGGCTCCTTGGGCTGCCCCCAGGTCTGGCCCCACACTGCTCTGAAGTGAGCACTCGCTTGCTCCACCCTTGGTACTTCCAAGAGGAAGGGAGGGTCTCACCGCTGCCCCTCTCTCCTCAGATGCACTCCTTACGCCTGCTCAGCCAGAACCAGCCCTCTCAGATCTTCCTGAGCATGAGTGACAACTTCCGGCCTGGTCAGCCACTCAACAACCGCTGCATCCGCACCAACATCAACTTCAGTTTACAGGGGAAGGACTGTCCCAACAACCGAGCCCAGAAGCTTCAGTATAGAGGTGGGTGCAGCCAGGTCGTTCCCTTAGACCTGCCCTGAAAGACTGACCCTCGGGCTCAGGCCAGCCAGCCCTTCCCTACCCCAATTTAGAAGGCAGGCGGATTCGCCCAAGGCGATCTATCTGCTAGAGCAGGCGACCTCAAACTACAGCCCACAGGCCACCGAGGACATTTATCTGTCCCACCGGGTGTTTTTGCACTTCAAAATAAGATTTGTGCATAGGAATTTGTTCATGGTTTTTTTTAAACTATAGTCCGGCCCTCCAACGTGTCTGAGGGACAGTGAACGGGCCCCCTGTTTAAAAAGTCTGAGGACCCCTGTGCTAGAGCAATGGAGCTGGTAGAGATTTGAATGAGTGCAAGATGTTCTCTTCTGTCCAGAAAGTGAGCAAAACCTGGGGACCAGAACTGTGGAACCTATTGAGGCCAGGTGTGTGAACGCACAGCATCTCTGCTGTGTCCCTGGAAGTGACAACTGTAGCTACTAGAAAGGACCCTTTCAGATGATGCCTACCTTCTGCAAGACTCTGAGCCATGCCCAGCCCTCTGTTCCCTCCCATCTGTTGGCCATTGTAGTAAAGCCTCACTGTGGGAAGGAAAATGTGCACCACCAAGTAATATTGCAAATCCAGCCACGTCATTAGACCTCGGGACCAGGTACCTTTCGTTGGATAGGACCATCTCCTCCTATCTAGGGCAGTTCCTGGGTGGTTCAAATGCTCAGCTGCTAACCAACAGGCTGGAGGTTCGAACCCACCCAGAGGCACTGGAACCCCGGTAGCTCCCAGCTCAGCTGGGATACACGTGGGGGTCTCCATAAGTCTGATGGACTGCAGGGCACCCGGTATGGTGGGTGCCCTTACACCCTAGCTAGCTGTGAGGCACACGGGAGAGTGCCCCTGTGGGGAAGCCGAGGATGTGGTATTTGTCAGGCGGCTGATAGGTTTTCCGTAAAGGGCCAGCTATCAAATATGTTAGGCTCTGGAGTTTGAACCACCAGCTGATCCTCGGGAGAAAGATGAGGCTCTCTGCTCCCACTAACGAGTGATAGTTGTGTCCTCTAGGGTCGCTGTGAGTTGACACAGTGAGTTTGGTGTTGGTAGACAAAGACTGGATCTTGCTCTCTACCCTTGGACGGGGGGAATAGCCGACAGCAGTGTGCGAATTAGTGCCTGCGGCTTTGTCCCGATGAAGTTTTGTTTACAAAAGCTAGCAGCAGGCTAGATTCAGACCTCAAGACTATCATTTCTACACCCCGTGGGCCGCGGTCCCAAGGGTCAGCAGTTTGAAAGCACCACTGTTTACAGGAGGAGAGGGAGAACGATGGGGCTTTCCACTCCCATAGGCAGTTGCCGTCTCAGACAGGGTCGCTGTGAGCCTGAATTGACTCAGTGCCGGTGAGTGGTCTGGCTTGGTGCCGGCTCCGAGAAGCCCTGGTGGCATCGTGGTTACCCACTGGGCTGCTAACGGTCTAAGGTCACCAGACGTCCCGCTTTTTGGAAAGAATGCACCACAAGCTAGGTATATGGTTTTCGACTGCCTTGTGGCTATTTTGCCAGGATATGAGTTTTATCAATGGTGTCCCGCTTTACCAATGTTAAAATCTGGTCACCTTATGCTAACCACTAGCTTACCAGCTCCTCTGCAGGAAAAAGATGAGGCTTTCTACTCCCCAAGATTTCCAGCCCCATAAACCCACTGAGCAGTCCTACCCTGTCCGATAGGGTCGCAGGGAGTCAGAATTGACTTGATGGTAGTGAGTTTGGTTGTTGTTGCTGTTGAAGGAGCCCCGGTGGGGTGTCGTGGGTCACGCTAACGGAAAGGTCAGCAGTTCGAAACTCCCACCCCCTCAGGAGACAGATGAGGCATTGTGCTCCTGCGCAGAATCACAGCCTCAAAGCCCACAAGGGCCATGCTGTGTTGCTGCGAGTCGGAATCAACACCTGGTAGGGATGTGACAGGCTGCTGTGCAGCCAAGGAGCTGGCTGGTAGCAGTTGCAGCACAACATCGTGGACTGAGCCCTCCGCGCGAGACAGATGACACAGTCTGCTTCCTTGAGGCTTGGCCGCCTCAACACCTCTCTGGAGCAGTTCTCCTACCCTGCCCTGTGGGGGCGCCGGAGTTGGAATCGACTTGGCGGCAGAGGGGTGGGTCTGGGGTGGAGTCCAAGTGGCTGGTAGCCACCCTACTGGCACAGATCCCTAGAGGGTGGGGGGTGGGCAATTGCAGTACATTAGAAGCAGGCATTTCCAATACCTGAGCCCCTTCCCCTGCCAGCCCTCAACACATGGGCGCCTTCATTCTCTCTGCCCTGTTCTGTATGGTGTGTCCTGGTTTTCTCTCTCTTTCCAGTGAATGAGTGGCTCCTCAAGTAGGGATCGAAGCCACGAGCGCGGCCCTCGGGGAAACGCTGCAACTGTGAATGGACGAAGTAACCGAGAATGGCCCCCTTCTGTCTCTTCCCTCCTGCCTCCCTTCCCCCGGGCCTCATTCACTCTTGGGATCTGCCCTTTCTTCATGCAACTGTCCGCAGACACGTGGCAGAGAACCTCTCTCTCTCACACACACAGCCTCCAGGTGGAGCCATCAAGTACCAGAACCAAGAGGCTCATCCGCAAGAGATCTTCGAAGAAAATAATGTCAGTTAAGCTGATAACAATTTTAATACCTTCCCCACCCCACCCCCGCATACCCGCCCCCCTGAACGGATCAATCTACCCCGTGAGACTTCCAGGCTTTGTACATACAGAACTCGTCCTGCCGTGAGAGAGGAGAAAACGCAGCTCCAGCAGCACCCCGGGGACTTGGTTCTTGGCTTCCCGTAGTCTCCCAACTGCGTCCTGGGATCCTCAGGGGGTGCTGGTGATAGATGCGCCGGGACAAAGCTGGCCAAGGACACTTATTTCTAGATTACCGTTCTTCTGTTTACTCAACAATTTAACAAGAAAGAAAAGGGGGGGGGGATGGGAAAAAAGGACAGACATCGAAGAGATACACATTGTATATATATCACTGCAGACTATAGAGAAATGGAATTCTTTCCCTCTTTGTCACATATCTGTAGTAGGATTTGCCAAGATCGGAATTGGTCCATTTGCTGTTTCCTTGTTTTCCAAAGGTCACACATTGTGTTTGGTTATTGTCAACAGCTAAATAAATGTGTTTAATGAGTTCACGCCCCCCCTCCCCCTGGCTGGGTCCTTTTCTCCTCCTTCCCAGGCCAAACCCTGGGTGCCCGTACCTGCATTCTTTGATTTTGCGTGTTCCTGCATCTGCGCATTTGGTTCACATGCAGCCCGTCCTCACTGAGTGTGTGACCATCAGGAATGCGTTTGCTAAGCGAGTAGACCTCTCATTCCGCGCCATGCCTCCCTCAGCCACGCAGGTGAGCGACCGATTGCGTTTCAAAACGGCCATCCTCCCTCCGTCCCTCCCACCTGCCCCACATCTGTGATGCTCCCTTGAAGGAATGCACTTTGCCTTTTGTCAGTTCCTGGGAAAGGGGTGTCTTTTCTCTCCCGGTGCAGCGAGAGCTCACAACGTCCAAGCGAATGCCTCTCTTTTCTTGTTTATAATGGTCACTCACTGTGTTTGGTTACTGTCGAGAAATCAATAAATGTGTTTAACAAGTTACCCAGTCCCCATGTCTGAGTTTATTGAGAGAGGAGGAAGCTCCCCCTGAAGTCTCTAAGTCCTGCTGGGTCCACACACACTTGCATTCCGGCTGGCGGAGCAGCTGGAGCAGCCCGCCTGGTCATTCCCAGAGCCAGGTAATTAATGCCCTGTGGAGACAAGACAGGCCTAGCTGCTGGAAGGGGAAGCTTGGCGGAGCGTTGAGGAGCCAAGTTAAAAATACCTTCATCTCTCCCTCCATCACAGTCTCCAGAGAGAGGGAGAGTGTGGGCGTGTGGAGCCTGCATCGGCAACAGTGCAGCCAAGTGACCATGGAAAAGCCAAGGAACGAGAGGCCTACCTGGTTGGGCTTTCCTTCCACTGCCTGCACCTGTGCTAGTTCTGTGATCAACTTGGCCCGGAGGACATCTGAGGATCCTGCTGAGTGATGTATCCTTCCCGAACACCAGACCTCCTTTGCAAAAAGGCTTGGTGTGGAGTCCCTCGACTGCGTGGCTTGCTGCTTCTGCCCTGTGTCAACATAGTCCTCAAAATGGTGACGCGGTCCCTGAAGAAGCCACATGGCAGCGTTATCCAGGCCTGGGTTTAAGTTCTCACTGTGCCTCTGGGTGCTGTGTGACTCTAGGCGGGATGCTTTCCTTCTCTGAGGTGTACACCGAGCACGCTAGTAACTGCCTCTATGAGACTTACATGCTATAGGTACGTAAAGCAACCAGCACAAGCCCTGCCCCTGCGCCTCTGTAGGTGAGGCCTGCAGAGACTGCCTGCGTACAGATGCTGTGGGCGTACAGATTCGGGGCTTAGCCCGTCCTGGGGAGGGGTGAGGAGTGGTGGAAGGGGAAGTTGGCGTCACAACAAGGAAACCACACCAATGCCAAATGAAAGCGCCAGATTCCTGGCAGTGCCCAGAGAGAGGCAGTCAGCCTGGGCTTTTATGTGCTCATCTACTAATCTAGTCAACAGCATCACTGTCTTTCTTTCCTTTTTTTTGTTAACCACATCAGAGATTCTAGATTTTGGCATGGCTGGCTGCCATCTGTTTCTCAGCCAACCGTACAACACTTCCTACAGAACCAAAGGTACCTCTCTTCAAAGATACAACCTTGACAGGGTACAGCGCTCCACAGGCAAGTGAAATGTGGTAGAAAGCAGTGAGCCTGCAGGTTAGCAAGGAAACACAGCTATCCAGCCCAGAGTAAAAACCTCAGGGTGTGTGGAGGCCAGGTGAAGGCAAACTCAGAGGTGAGGCAGGAAGGGGCACCGGTGAGGATGGAAGGTGGGGGGCTGAGTTTCCACGCCCTGTTCTCTTTCAGCTTCCTGTGGCTGCAGCCTTATCCAAAAGTGATTTCTCCCCCTGGCCTCTCCGCTCCACTATCCCAAGACAGCGTCCTCAGTGCTCCAGCCCGGGGAGGACAAAGGTAAACCCAGGCTCAGCCCTCTGGGGTCTGGGACTTCTCATGCCCACAGTCTCACCTGAGCTCCAAGAAACCAGACCTTGGCTCACCTTCCACCCCACTCCCTGTGCCCCAGATCCGGCGTTGGCCATCCTGCCTCGTGGTTATATGACTTCTTCTCTGAAGAGGACATTGTAAAGTCCAAAGAAGCCCCGGACAGTTGGCCTGGTGAAGCCGTCATGGGGTAAAAAGGCACTTTGATGTCATTCTGGCGCTCAGGCAGGGCTGGCGGCAGTGTCCTTGTGTACAGAGGGTGGGTGCCAACCTCAAGGGTAGGGCATCTGCCAGGTTCAGGCACACAGCCTGAGCCCCAGACCCCTCCTGAGCAAAACAGAGGAGGAGGGTACATGGAGACACACAGAGGTCCACTGCCTGCTCCTGAGGACACGTCTGGGCTCTGAGGCCTGTCCCACCTCCCCTCCTTAGCAGTTTGGTTTCCATGGTGACATCAGAACACCCACAAACCACTGCCCTAAATGCATCCGGACCATTGGGAGAGCCGCAAGGACATCGGGCGCTTGGGTGCTCCATCCTGACCCACTAGGCAAGGTAAGCCCAGGCTTACTTGTCCCATCAATAGTGGGAGTTCACGTTGTTCCGCCACATCAAAGATTCTGCTTGTAGGACTGGCTGGCATCGTCTTTCTCCCAACCACATAGCACCTGCCCAGAGAATCAAAGCCTCTGTTCACATGTGCAATCCCTGACAGGAACGGAGGACCCGGTCAGCAAGGCACGCAGGAGCTTACTTATGCTTACTGCTCTTTAGGGAACAGTTTCACGTTTTTCACCTGCTCACAGCCTCCCATGTAAACGGAAGCATCTGATGTCCGTCAATGAACGTATATATGGCAACCCCTCTGTCCACCTCAGTGTGATCCCTGACCCTACTGGACCCTGGCCTCTTGCATTTGGTGTGTCTCCCACAATGTCCTGTTCCAGAAAACCTGAACGTGGGCTCTCCCACGTCACTCGTCAGCCAGCCCAGTTAACAAGGACATCTGCCAGGACACCAGCCTTAGAGACCGCAGAAGCAACAGCTGCCGTCCTCTGCACCGTTCCTGTGGGCCAGGACCTGTAGGGGCCGGTTTGCAAATCTCATCTCATCACACCTTCCCTCTCTGGGCCACAAGAGTTCTTAAGCCTTGGATGACATTCTCAAATTCACCAAAGTGTAGCCCTGAACATCGTGTGGGAACTTGGGTCGCACCATGGACCTAGTGTAAGGTGACCAGATTTTAACATTGGTAAAGCAGGACACCATTGATAAAACTCATATCGTGGCAACATAGCCACATGGCAGCCGAAAACCATATACCTAGCTTGTGGTGCATTCGTTCCAAAAATCGGGACTATCCTGCCAAAAGTGGGATGTCTGGTCACCTTAACCTAGTGTCACTCGGGCAGGGTCCTGCCATCTGGGTTGTGGCAAATCCTCCGGGTGATGTTGGTGCACATCCAAGCAGGAGCTCCTTCCTACTGCCTCCAGTTAGATTCACCCAGGAAGGTTTTTAACCTCCCAATGCCCAGCTGTACCCCATACCAATGAAGCCAGATGGAGATGGCAGCCAGGCATCCGTGTTACCTAAAGATGGACAGAAGTTTGCACCTCTCTGTCCTCTTGTGAAGGAACGGCTCAAAGGAGGGGTCGCCTGCTGTGGGTTCGTGGGAGCCCAGACACCAGGGCCATGTCACATGTTTGCCCTTTCCCTAGTCACTGTATGCATTGTCGCTCTTTGGGGTGGGCTCAGAATGTGACCTCCCCTTCTCCTTTCCCAAATTCTCCAGCAATAATTCAAATAACAAATTTCTCCTTCGATAGGAGATATCTATGCATGAGTATTTACCTTGGCGGCAAATATATGGATATATGGCGGGGGCATACACGAGACAAAGGTGTGAAAACTTCTCAGACATACTAAAACACCTTGAGGAAATGAGTCATTGAGCCTGGGGACTCGGGACCATAGTCTTAGGAGACACCAAGGTCAATGAGCAATCGGGGCATCCACAAAAACAACGTTCTACATCCTACTTAGCAGCCATCTAAGGTGCACCTGTTGGTCGCTCCCTGTCCGGAGAGAAGAGAGGGGGTGAGAATTGCAGACACCTGAAAATAATTAGTCCAATGGGCCAAAGACCCTTGAGAACAGCAATTCTCCATGAGCCTGAGACCCGAGCTAGAGAGGCCCGGACACTGCTAACAATGACTGAAGGGGATCGTATTAGGAGGTCCTCAGTGGGCTGGGAGGAAAATGCAGAACAAAACCCCAAATCATAAAGAAGAGCAGGCAGGTCCTTGCTGGCTGGCTGGCTCCAAATGGGTGGGGCTCCTAACACGACGGCCCTTTGTCATCCTTCAAGTTGTCAGCCAAACAAAAGACAAGTCTATGCTGGGGACAATGACACCACACTAGGTGGAGCACACACCATCACATCAGCAACTCTTTGAGATCAAAGCTGTCACTCAGGAGGGTTGCAAGAGGAGCAGAAATGGAAACAGGAAATGGGGAGGAAGAGGGAGAAACAGTGTTGCATGACAGGGATTGGGATTGATGACATGAACAAAATGGGTGCAGGAATTATTGGATGGAAAACGACTCTGTAAACCTTCTCCCAAATCACAATAAAATCAAGTAAGTACAAGAATCATTTGTATTTACAATTTTTACCAATGGACTGCAAAGTTTGTACAGGTCAGATAACGATGGGCTAATTAAGACAAGCTGAGTCAGGGGAACGAGTTCTGAAAGATAACCCCGAGTCCACGATTCAACAAGTCTTAGGCAAAGGACAGACCTGTCGGTTGTCACGTCATAATGTCTCATCCATAGAGCATTCTCTCCCCCTGCCACTTTGGGAGCGCGCCTTGATAAACCCTGATCTCATCCCTCATTGCCCCTGGCCTGAACTATAGCAGTAACCACCCAGCAGGTTCCCTTGTCTCCGGTCGCCAAATAAATGAAATCCCAGAGCCATGAGTGCCCAATGTCCAAACACCACTGGCATTCAGATAGGGGGGGGATTCAGGTCCACCCAACATGGATGTGGTAGGGAGTTCGGGCTGGGCTGGAAGTGGATGATAGTTCATTGGAGACTTTTCAGAGGAGGGACACTGATACCAAGGCTAAGCAGGCAATCCAAACTGGCAGCCATCCTGGCCCAAATCCATTTGATGGAGAAGCAGATTGCAGGCGCAGGGCAAGAGGACAGAGCCCGCAGGCCAGCCCTGGAATGGCGATGGGAGCAGGGTCCCGAGGAATGTTTTCTCCTGAGCTGCTCTTCCTGGGGGTCTAGCCTGGGGCAAGTGAGGCTCTGAGCGAGGAGCCTCCCCCACCCTCCCTGCCTCACAAATCCTTGATAATTTATACATTTTTATTATTTTTCATGTCTTACACTAATGGGTGTCTCCTTTCACCCACTTTTCTGTTGTCCATCCCCTGGGGAGGGGTTTATATGGAGATCATTGTGATTGGTCCCCCTTTTCTCCCCACACCTTCCCCTTCCCCTCCTGGTATCGCTACTCTCATTATTGGTCCTGAGGAGT